GGTCCATTCTTTTTCGAACGTACTGTGAATGCAAATACGTACCTCGATTTGCTCACAGACCAATTGCCTCATTTGTTGGAGAACGTAGACTTGGAAACCAGGCGAAGGATGTTCTTCCAACAGGATGGTGCACCACCGCACTTTGCACGTATAGTCAGGAGGTTTTTAGATGAAAGGTACCCGAACCGATGGATTGGTCGAGAGGGTCCGATTGCATGGCCTCCTCGTTCTCCTGATTTGACGTCACTCGATTTTTATCTCTGGGGCTATTTGAAAGAAGTTGTTTTCAAAGAAGAACCAACAACAAGAGAAGATATGGAGAATCGCATAAGACGAGCTTGTGAAGCGATTCCTCGAAATGTCTTGCTCAGCACAGTGGCCCATTTCCAAAGAAGGCTCAATTATTGCATAAATGCTAACGGTGCAACTTTCGAAAACCTTTTGAATAGCTAGATTAACAATAGCAAAGTATGCATAGTGAGAGGCAAGGGGACTCACTCTAAACAAGCACCCCGAAAGAGGCAGAATTCTACCACGTCCACGTCGTTGTCTCTGGATAATGCTAAGTGTAGAAGATAGTTTAGAAATCCCCGTATATAGATACGATTTTCGCATGAATACACGTACAAGTTCCTTTTGACTTTGAAATGACCTCAAAACATGACATTTGATCTTATCGATCATACCATATCCTATTCTAAAATTTCCCGCTCTTTCCAAATCCGGGGTCGAAAATAGGCAATTCCATTTAAAATATGTTATTTGACCTTCAAATAGCCCCTAAGGTCAAAGTCAAGGTCAAATTCAAGGATATGGTCATACGTCCCCCTCCTTGTCCAACAACTTTTGTATGAAACTTTTTTCATTATTTCGCTCACCGGTCGAGTTATTCTCCATTAAAGGTTAAAATGGTCCACCCTGTATATAAACTATTTTATAACATTACCGTGACAGAAATCTCCTCCTAGGTAGAAATGGGAATCCTTATGGGTAATGGGTATAGCGCGTATATAAATTTGGTATATAAATTTGGTACCTATTGTTATGAGACAGCTCAACTATACGTCCGTTTGTATAGCTGGTACCCGCTTCTGTACATAAATTACTTGTACATGGGACTAGCATAATATCAGCATCTATTTTACCGATTGGTCTTCTTTCTGAGGAAGCTCAAGAAACTAGGAATAAGGATTGTAGAGATATAAGAGAATATCATACCCGAAAAATATCGAGAATCGCAATGAACGAGGATTTATTTAAAAGACTTTTGCTTTCCTCAGATCCTCATTTCGTCCTTCAAACAAACTTCTGTTAAAAAAGCTGATCCTTTTCCTACAGAAGTTCTTCAATTGTTAGCAGCGCCAACTTTGGAAGATACAGTTTTATTGCATGGTAAATAACTATATATCATAAAATAATACAAAAATATAAAAACAAAAAAAAATAAAATAAACAAAAATAAAAAAATATAAAAACAAAAATATACGTGTTATTTACTTAAACAATATGTCAATATTATTTAGTTATTACGCTATTATGTTACTTTCGTATTTTTTCCCGTAAAATCGAGTAGCGTAATCAGTTTTATTCTACAGTTATTGTTTAGTTATTTGTTTATAACAATTCATTGCAACATTGATTTTTGCAACTTCCTTTTTACGAGAAAAATGACTCCTCATGCTACAGTTCTATTTCCAATTATCAGTTTTTGGCTAACCTTCCTGGTTCAGCCATAATTAATTTTGGCCACTTTTCGGGCTTTCGGCACACTGTGCGCCGCGGTGTATCGCACCGTATATCTTTCCGGGCGATCGTCACCTATCGTCGACGCGCCGCGGTGTATCGCACCGAGTACTGCGAATCGTCGTCGGATATGATCATTGGTTCCGAAACGATTTCGGCGCGATCGCCGTATCGCGATAACAACGACGACGACGATGAAACTGACTCGCTGTTTGGTAGTCGCGGGATCGTCCTCGGTACGATTGCTCCTAACCCTAATCAGGTGCTCGCGTCCTCGTTAGCTGACGATGTCACTCGATGACGTGATTCTCTGTTACGACACACAAACGACCCAAGACGGCGCAATTCGCGCAATCGTCATTGCGTCGGGGAGGAAAAATGATAATTTGCGCACATTACGCGACACTTACATAACAATGACACATTGAGCGCAACAACACTGAACGGAAAAAAATACGCGAATCATCTACAGCGCAGAGCCATCGAGCACGCCTGAGCGGCGGCGTTTCGATCTCGCTCCTCGCGCTCCTCCTCCTCGGTGCTGGTGAACGAACTGACGATCGCGTTGTCGAACACTGAAAAACACGACTGCTTGCTGACCACGAGCGCGCCGTACACGGAGAATATCGTCAAAGAGCCGCACAGAAATTCTTATTCCAGGAGAGAATCAACGCGATCAGCAGCACGATGGCCAACAAGCATATAATGTACGTTACATTTCGCGTGTTCCACAACACCGTCTTGCAGTCGGACCACGTTGCCGACATCTTGGCCAGACCGGATGCCAGCGTGCGATGAAGGTTGTTGAACGTATCGCGAACATTCAAACGCTCGTTCTCGCGATGATCGTTACCGCCGCCTGACATTTGCGCGACTCGCGTCGAATCGAAAGAGAGATGGTAAAAAGAATGAAATTCTGAACGCGGTAGTTGCGATTGTCTCCTTTCTCTCTTATTAGATAACGAGAAAACGATCATCGCGAAATCACGTTTTTTACGCGTTTATTACCAGATCTCGCGGTACTGCTACGGTGTCGGCGCATCCTTCTTGAAACTGATCGGACAGGTACAGCATTGACAGTTCATCGTGAGCAGCGCGTCTCGCATCGACCGCTCCGTAAATCGCATCATCGTTTTCCTCGTTATCGCGCGTCGCGGTCGTCGCTGGTGGCGTGGCTGCTAGTGCATCAGTACTGCTGGAAATTTCCAGCGACGAATCCGCCTCCGCATCCATCGCACCTCTGGCAGTCGCTGTAACAGAGCGCGACACTGTGACACTCTTGTCGGATAACTCGACCTCGTCATCGAACGTACCTTCGCCATTGACGGGCTCCACGTGACCGATCAACGGACGATCGTCGAAATTGACATTGTCATGCGTTATGCGACCGTCGATTCGCATCGGCAGACGCATGCAACGCGGCTTCGCCCGTTGTCCGCTCAATCCGTACAGATTGTACGTTTTGGCGTTTCGCCAAAACGTACAATCAGCATCACATCTTTACCGAATTGACGAGACACATTGTCGGTCGCTGGTGATCACGGGCAACACTTCTCGTTCGCGAACGTCTCGCTTTTGACGCTGCAACTCGTACGCTACCACTCGCGGCGTCAGTTCCACCTTTATGCTCGGCGACACGTGCAAGCCCGACGGTGTAACTATTATTCCCGGAATCGCTTGATTCATATGCATGGTACTAGTAAACGTGAGATTGCACGTGTCGTTCGTTTCGTTCCGATTTGCATAATGATTATTTGCATAATGAACGCGCTCGGTGGGGATGGCAATGCCAACTTGTCACCGTCCAACAACTATCGGTTCTGACGAACCATCTCGTGAAAGAACAAGACCGAGTGCATGATAATTTTTTTTTTCGGTCGCTCGATCGACGACGTAAGGACGTTAGGGGACGAAATCGGCGCGTCAACGCGTTCGATCGATTGATCGACAAATTTGGCAATCACTCTTAGACATTATATCGGAGAGGGCGATTGATCGATCGCTCGATCAACGGTCAAATGCACGCTTTGTTCGCTATGAACGACATGCACGCACCGGGACTACGGGAATTGATTGTACGAGCAATCGAACGATCGGTCGTTGTTTGCGGACCGTTGTTGACGCTGGACGATGCGATCGAGCGAATCGAGAACCTTGATTCCAACGGAGCGGATGACGCGCTGCGACAATTGCTCGCTCGAGAATCCACGACGGTGAAGAAACACGACGCACCGTCAACCGTTGTCACGCTGTCTCGCGATCGTCGTGCTGTCGCTGCTGAGTGACGTCGGAGCGCTCGAGCCCGATGACGCCGCCTCGAACAAATTCATTGCGGGCGCGAATAACCGTGAACGACTCGGCGACGAATCGACGCTACGTCGAACACTAGTGACCAAACGTCTGCGAGCGTTTCTCGAGCGCGTTCGCACACACGATCAGAGGAGCGCTACGTACGACGGCACGCTGGATTCGAGCGATTTCTTCGAGATATTCGACGTATTGAGCGCAGCCGGTTACTTGGCCGCAAAAGTGTCGTCGAGCGACGAGATCGCTGACGAAGAAATTAGCGATTTTTCAACGAAACGAACGAACGCGCGTCGCATTCGTACGTATGAACAACGAATCGCTCCGCTGTTCGATGCTCTGTCTCTAGGCGCGAATTCGTCAATCTGACCAGGTAACGAAGCGTCACCCCCACTCATTCCCCTTTGTACGAACAAACAGATTGACCAATAAACGATGTTTAGAACGCTCCCACTTTTCGCAAAAAAGATCCGGTATGGAGGGAGTAAAATGTATATAACGAAGCGTTCCGTCGCGCGGCCAGTACTATTGTACAGTACGTAGTACGAAGCAGTTAGAGGTACAATAGGACCAGGAACGCTACTGCTCCGTACTACGTACAGGGGGACGTTGTGGATCGCTGTTAATTTTGTTTAACTTAAGTCCACTACTGTACAATTGCTCAACTGTGCGATCGCGCCTCGGATTCGAGCTCCTCGAAGTCGAGCGCTTCGGAGTCGAGCGACTCGGAGTCAAGCGCGCCAAAATTGCTGACGTCAATCGGGAACGTTGTTCCAAGTGCAGGAGAACGTTACTAATGCGCAACTGTACATTTATACAATTGTGCATTTGCGCAGAGTCCCGATCGTTCGGAATCATGCGACGGCGCGTGGTGCTCTTTTTGGAATCGACTTGGAAGGTGCGGGAATAATAATGAACAATGTGCGATAACTATTATACTACTATACGTATATTTAAACAAAATTAACATCGATCCACAATTCTTCTATCGGTTCGGGAACAATATTTTCGTAAGATGTAAATAAATCGTTTAAATTAAATATATCTATAGCATCCTCGTCTTCTTCGCGCCAAATGCCATGATGAAGGTGGTCAATTTCGTGACGTCGTTCTTGTCGCTTCAAGTATCTTTTGCCGATACGCACATATCCGGGCAATTTGATCATGGTATAGAGCTTGATATCGCCATTGGCGCCCAGGCACTAAAACATGTACAAATAAATACAAATTGAACATACGAAAAAAATGTTCATCGTATATACAAACGATGATACTACTCACCAATACTGCTGGAACAATAGCGCACTCGCACATATATCTCTTCCCGTGACTAATATTCGAATATTTTGTCGACTTGTCCGATCGTCGCAGAGCTCGTTTGTTCTGACGCTCGTCAATACTAAAATAACCAGCAATTTTGGACAGTGGGATCATTAAACGTTCGCCGGTAATATTGCACAAACACTGAAAAAACGAAACATTGACATTCGCGAGTGAACTTGCGATTGAGTGAATAAATAATGTAACTTACGATCTTTGCAAATTGCTCATCGTCGTACATCCACTCGTAATCGTCAGGTACGAAAATGTCCAAATCGTGGTCGTGATTCCACAAATGTATAACCGAGCAGTCTTCGATCACGCTCATGGTGTTTTTCTCGTTTGATGCTTCTTGAGGTCTGATGTCGGCCAATGTAGCGTACGTTCGTTATATACATCTTGCGAGAGTGTTCTCATTCTCTTATCGAGTTACTACTCGAAAGATAAGATATCTGAGAAAACACACAGCGGCGCGTAGATAGTGACTGCTCATTGAAACCATTATGTAACTTGATCGATGGCGGAAACAATGATCGCGGTCACTGGAACAATGGTGCTTCCGAACGCTGCTTGTGTACAATCGCAATTTGTACACTATCTCGCCTTCGATGACAATTGTTCGATGTGGTCGAGAGCGATTCCCAATGACCGTGAAACGTGCAAACAATTGCGACGGTGCGCGAAAAGAACAATTAATTCGGAACGTTACGCTCGCACGGTCAGACAGCCGTGCGATTCGACAACTATAATTTTTACGACGCCCGAATCGCGCAGCGACGATCTGTGCGAACGCGAATTCGCGCATTTGGCGAGCGGACGCGCTGATCTCGCGTAATGGCGACCCACCGGTCACATACCGACCTCTTTGAAGCGCGCTAGATTGTGCGACGATCGCGATCGCAATGGAAATCGACAATTGGCCGTTACGTTGCGCGATTAGTTCGCTTCTCGTCACGATAGACAGGTGCAGGACGACATTATCGTCAGTTCCTCCGATATCGGCGATGTCAGTTGTCGTTTATTGAGTGCCATGTGTCTCGACGCTGTGACGTATTCCGTGTCACCGGGATGCAATCGCTCCATCGCCGAGATAGTGGAACGTAATGCACAAACACGCGACGAATTTTCAGGCATCGTGAACAAATTTAATTTGGACGATGGTGTTGGCACGGTAAATTCGAGCGATGATCTGCCGGAGACATTGCTCGGTTCGAACGGTCGTGTGGTCGAGCGACGGGTGACATCGACTACGGTGCGCAAGGCAACTAACGCGACCGTTCGTACGGGTGCTTCAACGAGCGCCAACGAGGAGCATCGTCGTGACAAACTCACCGCGTTAGATTCAACAACGAGCAATCACGACGCAACGACTGAACGAGTGACCATGTCGCAACACGATCGTCATCGTTGCAACAGCGACTCAACCGACGTGGCGTTGGCCGCTATCGCGTGGAATATAGATCGTAATTTGGCGGTTGTCGGGAAGGACAATGTTCGTCCGGAGTCAAACGGTACGCTCGAGCGAAAAGAGTACGAGCGTGCGAATGAACAAATCGATCGAGACGTTGACGAACGCACGGACCACGAGGCCCAGAGTACCGAGGCTGAACATTTGACCGCCGAGCGAAGCAGGCAACTCGATATCGACGACATTGTGCGCAATCACGAACGTACAATGGACACGAGTCACAAATCTGTACGTTCGACGGACATTGCGAATCGCAGCGCGAGTGAACAAACGTACGATGTGAGTTCTCGCGTGGTGGTCGAACGTTTGTTAGCCGGAGAAAACGATCGCGTGCTGACCGATACTACGATACGTAGAGACGCCGCTTGGTACGCGCGCAACAGCGTTTCGCGCAAATCGCATAGCGACATTGGGAAACGCGCTAGCGATGCAAATTTGCGCAAATCAGTCACCAGTGTTCATAGGGATAATTCGCGCGCGGAATCTCAGTTCGAATCGGACGATCGGTCCGAAAGTCTCGAGTCTCTACGTTCAAACCTTCAGGACGAACGAAGCGGCGATGCTCAAATGTCATCGCTCTTGACGCGTCAAACGCAATAAACAATCGTCAATATGGACAGCGGCGCTCCAGATTCGTCGAGCGATATCGCGCGTCGCGATTGAAAACGTTCGTCGGACCGGCTCGAAGACGAGGACGAAATCATCGAGCTGAAACGCGCGCGTTTGGGCGGTTTGGTGTTCGATCGCGGAGGCCGAAAACGACGCCACGACGACGCTGGCGATGAGGAGGAGGACGACGAATCGTTTGTCAAACGAGTGCGTCTCGAAAATCGCACCACTAGAGGCGACGACGATGACGGTTCGTCGTCCTCGTCGTTGCGAGAAATTGTCCCGAACCGAACGCATGGAGTGAAGCGACGTCGGAGCGTCGATCGTTACGCGGATGATGAGGACGACGAATCCAAGCGAGCGCGTTTTGACGAGGAGCTGGTACGACGCGACGATCGTTTCGCGAATCAGATGACCAAGCGCGCGAAAATGGTTACTACGGCGTCCAATAGCGGCGGCGTGAATAACCGGACAAAACGCGCGCATCTCGACGACAGCGGTACGCGAATCGTGACGTCCGATGGCGTCAGTGGATGCGATGGTGACTATCGCGCTCGAAAACGATCGTTCGATAGCCTCGACCGTGCTGAACGACGGTACCTCGGCGCTCGATATCGAGCACCGAAACGACAGTCTCGATAGCTCGGTGACGAGAACGCAAATTCGATATCGATCTCTCTTGGAACGAGCTTTGCTCTCGAACGAATTCGAGCGAGCTCGAGCGCGCAATAGTATGCGTTTTGAAGACCTGCGTTCTCGACTGTACGGTCTGGCGAGCACGTTCGACGAGACGAATCATCGAATCGTGTGCGATCTCGCGCGAAAACTCACAATCGATTACTTTACTCAATTGTACGAGATTTCGTTTCGCGCGTACTCGTTCTTCGATTCGGCGGCGCGCGCGGCCTGCGAGTATGTGCCGTGGGTGTTGAGCGCGACTATCAAGGATGTCTTTTCTTCGCGTTCGGGCACGGCGGCTTGGTTGGTCGATCGAGCGGTCGAAGAATTTTGCAGAGTGCAATTTTATCGAATATACGAGTATACGCGTTGCTACGAGTTACAGCGCGCTATAGTGCGCGAAACGTTCGACCGTGACAATTACGCGGATTACATATTGGCGTTGTTTCTGCGCGATTTGGAGAAACGCGCGAAATTGCGCGAGATCCCGTTGGCTCGTTGGTCCCGAATGAAGTCGCCCTCGTATTCGACAACACGAAACTACGCCATTCTGTGCGACGCTTGCGCCGTTGTGGCAAAAGTGTTGAGCTGTGTGAATCGCATCGAGGTGGCGGCACGCGCAATCGTCGTACCGCGAGAACAATGCGAAGACGCGCAGGATGATCGAGAGGAGGAAACGCATCGTCTAACGTCTGTGGATCTCGAATTGGCGGCTCTATTGATCCGCGATAATCGTCGCGGACAACTTGACGAGTCGGCGCCAATCTGGCCAATCTGGAATCTCTCGTTGTCGCGTTATTCGGTGTCGCTGGCTCGAGCGCTCGTTGTCGACAGCACTACGGACGATCGTTGCGGAGAATCGTCATCCTCGGCGATGGGCGACGAGATCTGGACGGCTCTCACATCGGAGAGTTACGACTACATGTTGACGTATCGAGCCAACACGTGTTGCGATCATCTGAACATCAAGGAAGACGATCGTTTCTACACCGATCTGTTCAACACGCTGTATTCGATACGGAAGGAAACTGGTTGAGCAATAAAATGTTTTTTGTTAACAAAATCACATTTATTCCAATGATGCTAAAGAAAACATGGGCTATTGCCTGTCGTCGTAACGCGAGACAGAGCACGCAGTGTTGATTTGTCGATACACGACTCGCTGTTCGAACGCCAAATCGGACAGTTGTACGTTAGCTCCGTATATTTTGGAATGTTAAACGAAAGGTGCATTATACGAGAGACTAAACTAATGTGAGTCAAGGTACGCAAAAACGATCGTACTTTATGATGCGTGTAACACGGCATATTCGCAAACATCGCAAAAAATTTTGGTCCGTGATACAATACGCTACGTTGCAACGCCTCGTTGTGCAAAGACGGTGGTTCGTTGCGTGATCTAGCACCCGTCGTGTGTTCGTTCCAGCGCATGGACGACCGGTTGAGCGAAGTGATCAATACGCACATATCGCGCACTCTACTGATAGTTAACAGTGGATCTTCATCGGCCATTCAAGCGTACGAACAATCGTTACCGCCGTCCGATCCGTTCAATGTCGATTCGACGCGACGACGATCGGCGGTGTCGCATCGTATCAATCTGTCCTCACGATACACCGGCAATCCGCGAATCACTCGCATGTAGTCCAGAGCGAGCGAATTCGCGCAATAATAATTTCTCGCGAAATATATTGACGATGTGGAAATCAGATCGATCGCTCGCGAGACACGTTCGCTGGTCAATGCCAAACTCAGCGGCATCGCTAAAACGTACATTCCTCGCAAAATGCACTCTTCGAACAGCCGTTCAATTTGCAGCCACATGGATGGCGTGCAACATTGATACGTATCGATCAATCGATCAAATATGGTTATCAGACAAAACACTTCCACTTGACACGCACTATACAGCGTATCTTTAACGGTGTTGTAATTAGTCGTCAGACGATCAGAATATCGCGAAAATGTAATATCTGGTAGATTCACCGGAATGCCATTCGCGGAAACGTTTGTAATGCTAAAATGTGAACGCCAATGCGGCAACGATCGCAATATAATCGGCATCACTCTGTACCAAAAAAGTTCATCGTCGATTATGCGCAAATATTGAACGCACGATGACGCGAAAGAGGGAATGTATGGCGATACTCCGAAAATGAATCGATGTTTCGCTTCCATCTCGTGCAAGGTGATCCACTCGGGCGGATTCGCCCTTTGAATGTATTGGGTGAGTGCAAAAGTTCGTGCGGAGTTTGTGAGTAAAAGTCACACAGTGATTAGGCAAACAAAAATCTTTATTCAATCAATGATATATTCTCCATCGTTTTCTATAATCTTTTTCCAACGTTCTGGCAGCATACGGATGCCTCGATCATAAAAACTGCGCGGTTTAGATTCGAAGAACGAAGAGACGCCGTTTTTTAAGGCCTCCAAAGAGTCAAAGTTTTTTCCATTTAAATAATTTTGCAATGACTGAAACAAGTGATAGTCAGATGGTGCGATATCAGGAGAATACGGTGGATGCGTTAAGACATCCCATTTCAGGCTCTTCAGTTTGCGCAGCGTCTTTTTCGAAACGTGTGGTCTGGCGTTGTCGTGATGAAAGACGACTCCCTTGCGATTTGACAAAATCGGACGTTTCTCTTTTATTTCTCGATTCAGATTGGTTAATTGGCGACAGTACTTGTCCGAATCAATCGTTTTGCCAGCGGGGAGAAGCTCGAAATAGATTATGCCCTTGCAATCCCACCAAACAGAGAGCATCACCTTCATCGGGTGCAAACTGGCCTTTGGCATTGCGTCACCATGCTCACCTGATTGTTTCCATGTCCGTTTGCGCTGAACATTGTTGTAGAGGACCCATTTCTCATCGCCCGTCACTAGTCGACCCAAAAACAACTCGTTATTGAGCCGCCCGAGTAAAGAAACGGCTGCAGAAATTCGCTTGATTTTGTTCTTCTCGGTCAGCAAATGGGGCACCCATATATCGAGCTTCAAATCGAATCCCATCTTTTTTAAACGCCGAAAAGCGGTTGATCGGTCAACGTTTAGTGCTGTAGCAACTTCTTCTGTTGAAATTCGCGGATTATTGAGCACTAAAGTACGCAAAACATCGTCATCAATGTCAGAAGGTCGACCAGAGCGTGGCTCGTCTTCAAGGTTAAATTCTCCGCGCCGAAATTTAGCAAACCATTTTTCCACAGTTCGTTTAGCTGGTGCTTCATCCTGACAAACATCCTGAATGTTTTTTACGGCTGCGGCAACGTTTATTCCCTTCCGAAACTTGTAAAGCATAACATGCCGTAAATGCACCTTATCGATACTCATTTTTAAAGTGATATTTCTCGAAGCAGTTTGTATGAAAACAAATGATTTTTTTTTTAATAACAGCTGAAGACGTCACCTTTCCAACGTTATATAATATGTAGATGGAAGTATTAATGACAACACTTTACGACGCTTATAACTCCATCTATTGAAACTCCGCACGAACTTTTGCACTCACCCAATACTTTATCGCGTGCGCGGCGTACGTCTCGAGCATGAGAAACGTTATGC